CATCAAAGTTAGGGAAATCGTCTCGCCATGAAGATCGTGCAGCTTCTTCGGTCCAATGGCCTCGAGCTTGCCATCTGCCAAAAGCGGACCCGTTTATTATCCCACATCATTTTCGCACGACCTGATGGAATGGGCTACACACATCCATAAACGCATCAGATGCCTGTTGTGCCAGGGTCCGAGAAACCAATCGACGGAAGACGTCTCCAATGACGAGGGCACGTATGCCTCCGTTCGGCTTCTGCAACGCAAGCAAGCGGCCGAGACGGAGACCGTTCGACCTTCGCCGGCACACGTCCTGCGGCGAAAAGTTGGGCGGCATGGAAAAGTAAATCGGAGCAACGTTCGTCATCAAGCCGAATGCGCAAATGCTCGGTTGTGCATCCAGACGGCGGCGGCAGCTCCCGCCGAGCCCTACGTAGGTTGCCGAACCCGTTCTCTGGGGAGAAAGTGGAGCGCCATCCAAAAAGTGGCACTTGGCTAATATGGGGTCGTTTGGTGGAGTCGCGCAAGACCGCGAGCATCTCGTCGGTGGCAGAGCCGAGCAAGGTCGCGTCAAGAGCGGCTCTTGCGGGGGATATTTCACCAAAGTGCACGAGCGCGACGCCCTCCCCAGGGTCCGGTTACAATTCGAGAGAAAGCCGGACTCCACAAGCAAACCTAACACGTTTTGCACCACGAGCAGATTGACATGAGACACTTTAAAGGTCTCCTCAGTTCAGCTTCGGAATTTAGAGACATGAAGAGCGCTCACTTCCCGGAGAGTGGTAGAAAGCTCCGACATGTGCATGACTCACCGGGTTTGCATGGTTTTGCCGAAGGAATAGTCCAGCAAGACCGGAAATCAAGTAGTTTAATCATCCTTTTGCGTAAACCCACTGGAGAAAGCTGCAAAGATCGCCAGTTGAAGCCACTGGGCATCAAGAATCAACAAACACCCCGAAACAAGAGAGATGGCATTACAGGACATGAGCAATTAAGGTGCTTTGCATGAAAAGGGCGATCAAGGTAATCTTTAGCGGTAGGGAGTTTGTGCTTACATGTTCGAGGCAGCATACAGCACAAACGACGTTTGAAGCGTATGCTGAGGAGGAGTGTTTGTAAAGCAAACACAAATCCGAGAAGTGTACCAAGGTCAAGTCCTCAGAGTTCGTGCACGGGTGCATGGCACCCGCGCAAGGATGATACGCACAAATCGGTGCGACCTTGGCTCAAGAGTCAAGAGACCAAACGAATCGAGTGTTTTTGGGGGTGTGATTGGGGGGAGCGTGGGATGAGTCACGATGCTCTTGATGACGTTCCTTGGCAAGTCAAGAGCAGACGGCAGCAGCAACAGCAGCAGCAGAACTCGTCTCCGACCTCCAGCATTATAACAGACTCGTCATCTCCGCAATAACCGGGCCATAACTATCAAGGGGCATCAACGAAGCCAGGCACGCATCCCGGCGGAGGCCTTCGAACATTGCCGCCTTGGCGGGCTATAAGGTCGTAAGCACCAACACCGTCAACACCGACTACCGTCTTACTCGGACTCAATTCGCACGAAACCGTTAAAAAAGTCAGAGCGAGTGCGAAGGTGGAGAGCAAGTCAAGTCAAGTCAAACCTGAATGCCCGGACGCTGCCCCGTGAGGGCTCAGGAAATCAACTACACGGCTTGTTACTGTACAAAACCGCTCGGCCCGCCGTTGCGCTTCCAGGTCGGCGGCAGTGGCGGGCCCTCCAGAACGAGTTTGTGCAATTCGTTCCCAATGATCTTGAGATAACAGGTCTACCGGCTTTGCAAGCTCCTGCGGCGGGACCACCTTTTTCACGGAACAGCAACATGCTTGGGGCCAAAAGGAACAGCTTCCATCCAGCGTCTTGCTCGGGTGCCTCCCGCCAGGGCTCGAGGCCCGCACGCAGCGCTAGGCGCAGGGCACCGCGGATGTGAGGTGGCGCGCTTTGCAACGTGTAGACTCGCCGTTTCTGTTTTGTTTGCACCGTCACTCGCAATCAGCGTGTTGAAGTTGGGAACTGTTACCACACAGCACCGTGGACCGCACGCCGCCCGCAGGGCGACGACTCGTAAGCGTTGCTTCGGGGGCCACGACCATCTGCCAGTCATCGAATGGTGGCCCCGTGCCATCGCACTCGTCCGCTTCCGCCAACGGCAATTCAAGCAGCAAGTCGGCCGCAGCATGCCCATCCAACGGTGGCAACCGTGCTGGCAACCCGCGGGCACGAGTCTTCGCCATCTGCCGAAGGAAGGCAGCGGCCTCTCGGCTCAACCTGCCGCTCACGTCCAAGCCAAGTACAGTAAGTTTGCAACGGGCGGCGACCGGGCAGGTGCGAAGGCGTTTGTGGTTTTTTGGCGCTTCACCGCCTGCTCAAGCGCCGTGCCTGCGACACGCTCGGCATTCGGCTGCAGGCCGCCCGCATCCGCCCGCCCGCATGACTGATGCCACCAGTGTGGTGTCGATGGCCGCTTGGGCGCCCTGCCACAGGAGCAAGCCATTTTTTTGCGAAGCGGCGGCCGTCAATGTGTTGAGCACGCAAACGGCCAGTAACTGCTGGCTGCTAGCTGCGGGCCTGGTCGTTCCAGCGGCTAAGCAGGACAAACGTCTTGCGGCCCGCCACGCATGAGCTCCGGGTACGCGGCATGCCTGCGGCGCCCGACAATCCGTGGTACAGCACCGTCCACGGCCGCTGCACACAGCTGCGGGTGCCCTCTCGCGCGAGTGGGGACGCCAGCTGCGGGTGCCCTCTCGCGCGAGTGGGGACGCCAGCCTGGCGTCGCAGCATTGCACCCCTACGGGGCGATGGTGTGGCCACTGCTGCGAAGGAGCAGGATCACGTTTGACCTCTTGTCGCAAACACAAACCTCTCCGTGAACAGCTGGCGTGAACTGGTACAAGGTCCCATCATATCCGTGATCGCACTCGGTGATGCGAAGCAAGGGCCACATTTTTTGCAACTGTATCTGTCTTCGTCCTGCTCGCAAATGACATCGCATATTGCTGTGTTGCGGACTGACCACAATCGATGCCCCGAACATGAGCTCTCCGCGTCATTGTATGACATCATACGCGAAGAACGCAGAACCGCTGCGGTGACGGTTTTTGCCCACTCTTGCGAAATGCAGCATTCCACGCCGGAGTGCGGCGTGCGAAACTTGGACGACGAGGTGTCTCTGCGTGCGCGGTTTAGTGCCGAGACGCGCAAGCCCACTGCCGCGCCAAGGAAGACGCGAGCCCGCCTGCGGCATCCCACGGCGGCAGGACGCTGTACAGGAGGAGGGCCGCGCGAGGCGGCGGAGAAGGGTCGCCGTCCAGCAGACTGTGTGTTCCACCTGTTTCGCTCCTGCTAGGCCCTCCAAACCAATGTCCGTGATGTCCGGGCCACACGAGTCCTGTTGACAAACCACGTCAACTGCAACGCTTCATCAGAACAATTCTCGCTCTAGACGCTGGTGCGTTGGACACCGAGTTCTAACGAGTTCCGCTTGGAAGGTGCCAGCTGCTCGCCATGAAGGGCGGGAAGGCACTTGGTTGGATCGGTTGTGTTATTGACTTCACTGATGCCGCAGGACGAGTTCAACAAGCCCGGGCTTGCAATGACACTGTGTTTATTCAGATAAGCCACAAAAAAAGCAATGATAACACCGATTGTCGTGTTCGGTCTTAACCGGTCTCCCCATGTAGTGAAGGAACAACCACCATTGGATTTCTATGGCTTTTTTCGGGGGGACCCTACAAGGTGCAACGTCACTGGTTGGTGCGCGCATGTGCGAGCATTGTCGGCTGCATACATGCTCACACAACACAATGGCCTGAAGAGGCGAACGATGATAATTGTTGCCATCTTTCAGGCAGCAATATTTGTTACGAGGTCACGTGTTGGATTGGCATGCCCCCCGCTAAATTCAATTCTGAGCGGACATTGGCTTCCTATCAGATCCTACCATAGCGCAATTCGCAACGAACACTGTTTCCACCACCGACCACGGTGGCAACAGCCTGGGCAAGCCGAGAACATTCAGTTCGTCGGAAACGGAGAATGGAATGCCACACATCGACGTGCAGCGAAATCAAAGATCGGCGGCGCTTGACCAACAACCAGGTTCGATGCCGATGGCGCCCATCTGCCACACCAAACTATCCTATAGGTACACAATGGTACACAAACACTGACTCGCAAGCAATTGGAGCGCCGGCACCAACTGCATGTCCGGCTAGGATGCCCAACTGTCATCGATGTAAGAACAGCCCATTGCACACTTCGGTGCGAGCATTGATGTGTTCAACCACAGTATGTTTTCGATGCGTCAGACAGCAGCGACTAATACACAGGCCATCCGAAAGTGTCACATGCATGCAGGTATACGAACACAGTGTCACACACACACACACACCGACAGAGACACACACCACGCACACACAGGCACAAACACACGCCCACACAGGGAAGCACACGTTCCCACACATTCTCACATACACTGTTGCACTCCCGCATGAGTGGGAAAATACACAAACACGCCACACAAGCACCACGATCAAATTGCACATGACGATGCCGCGCTCCTGGATGTCAGAAACATTCAGACCCCAATGCCAAGATGGAGCAGTCATGTGATTCAATCATGCTCCCACGTTGCTACTACGCCTGCAAGACCATTTGTGTTACGACAGTACACATCAATTTGGTGGCGGGGGTGTTCTGATGTTTTTGCCGTGCTAGTGCAGTGCATTGACAACGAAATCGCAAAATTGCATCGTGGTACTGCGATACAGTGATTTCTAAGTGATTCGTGTACGAAGGAACCAAATCTCAAAATCTCAGCGGCGAACCCATGACCAGGCAAGTCGGCGGCCACTATTCGGTGCCCGCTTTCACGGAGTAGGGACCAGACCATGGACCAGGTTTCCTGAGACAGCTGGGGATGGTGCTAAACATACGGGCGCCGACACCCCCGCATTCGCCACAAACACCTCCAAAGCAAGCGCGTATGCCGTCGAGGCACGATCCTCAACCTCCGCATTTATTGCTGTGAAGTGCAACAAGCCCTTTCGTCAACGATTTTAAGGGCAGAGCCGTGCATCATGCATGAGCACTGCCGTTTTGCCAGACCAGCTCGGTGGCGTGGCCATTGCACTTATTTTCCGCCTGCGCTTTGTGAGGAGTGCATTGCCATCTAGTGTTGATTGCTTTCCCAAGCAGCGAATAACACTGCGTTTGTTGTAGGCACGGTGCTCTGCAGCCGGCGTTGCTTGCAAGGTGTACCTGCATTTCAATCACACGGCATCACAACAACTCATTGCGTAAGTCTCTCAAGAACCTGGTAGCATCCAGCAGTGGTGCTGCAAGCTCCTCTTCGACAGTGCAGCTCGGATGCACTGTCAACCACAAAACGCTCCTCGTAAGACGCCCCTTCAAATTTGTCCACAATCTTCCGGTGAGATCGCCACAGGTGCACGTACCTTTATCAGAACCAACCATTGAAATTTGTTCGATTTTTTTGCTCGGCACTGAGTAGCGTGCAGAGCAATGCACACTCCTAACCAACTCCGTCGTGGAAGCATGTCGGCTGGATGAACACGCTGCAAATGATTTTCATGCTGCGTGTAAACTATTGTACGGGATCTGGCATACATGAAAGATGTACCGACTGAGGATGGGCTGCAAAGGCGCCAACGTGCACTTTACTCGCGTCCCGAAAATGGCATGTACTGACCACAAATACAAACACAAGAACGTTCATTGCATCCATACTTCTCAAGGGGATCCGAAACTTTCGCGGCGAGTGCTGTTCACCCGTTCGTTTGAGCGCCGGTGACACCAGCTCGCCTCAGTTCGTTTGACGGTTGCAAATGCCTGATGTCTCAGTTGCCAAAGCTCAACAAGCCAAGAACCGTCGTTACCACATGTCCCTTGTGGGAATGAAACCCAAGTTGACTACGGACACAAATTACGAACATGCGAAACAGCAGTAAAGCGAGCGAAAACGGCCAAAAGGCGGAGGCCACTTGGGACTTCGGAACACCGCTCTGCATCTAAATGTGAACCAAGGGCAATCCAAAGCATCGGTCGCATATCGGACGTGGAACTTTTAAAGGCACATCAACTCATTTCCAAAACTGTATAGTTTATTGACTTTGGTCAAGTCGCATTCAAGTTGGAACTTGGCAATCAAGCTGCTTTGTTTTTCAGGCCACGAACTTGTTCTAGATAAGGGCTAACCGTGGGCGACTGTTTGTCATCTTACATTGCCCCAATGGTCATGCTGCATATGTTGTTTGATCGTTGCCATGCAATTGGTACATGTGTTTTGCTTGTATCTCAAACTCGCCTTTTGAAACAAGCTAAAAGGATGCTTTTCATTCGGACTGCTTCTTGCACTTTCGCTTTTTCCCCCCAGGACAAGCCGTAAACCCTTGTATTTTGCGTGTATGTGAATGGCACAACCAAATCTAGGTCAATGTCCTTCTCTGACAGTGTTAAGCAAAAGGGTTCTAAATGGGATTTGTAAGTGAGGCGGCTGGAGACAAAGCCGAACCTACCGTACTTCCGGCAGTAAACATTGGCAAGATTCTCCCCCACTAAGTTTTGTGAGCTGGGAACAAGCATGTTGCGTAGTGGCTACTACGGAAACATTCTGTTGTTAGTCACAAAAAGGAGTATTTAAGTAGCTGAGCGAGGTGACCTGGATAGATTTGCAAAAGTTGCAGCGGAATGGAAAATAGAACTGCAGAGCGTTCTAAGTTGATTGAAGGTCTGCAAGCCTCGAAGCAAGTAGGGTTGGTTCCAAGGCACGACCAGCTTTTAAGGTCCTGCGACTGGATTTACGTACCGCCCGTAGCCGTAGGGCTATTTGCTTGGAAACTGTAGATGCTTTGCGGCAGTGGAGACTTCTCCATCCATACCAAGGCGTGCGAGGACTGCTCTGGTCGGATCTGCGAGGCGCTCCGAAGACAAAAAAATTGTGCTCTACATGCGAGTGAGCTGTTTGACTGGAGATGATTTTTTCGGAAGAGTAATGCATCAAAAAAGCTCTTGGAAAAAAGATCAAAAAACCTTTGCTGAAAAATCGAGGAAAAACTATTGTTTGAAAGAGGAAAAGACTGCTCCTCCATTTCTAGGGAAAATAGAAAGGAGGCAGGCCAAGCAAAAGATCAGAATGAAAATTATTTCTTTTGGTATCAAAAATAGCTTAATAACCATTCCCTTTTTGGTGAGAGAACAAGATACAACCCAGACAGAGGCTTCGCAGATTGTCGTTGTGCCAGCCAAAGTAGTGCAGCTGGCTACGACCTTCTGAACCCACCAATGGCTGCATGCCGGAGTTAGGCGTGCAAGCAGCGCGTGCTTTTGCGCGTGGCTTGCAGACGCCAAAGACTCTGCTCACTCGGCTTAGCAACTTCAAACAGAGAAGCAGAAACATCTTTTGGAACAACAAACGCAAAAACAACAGGCACGCAAGAGATGTTTGCCTTCGCTTTGTCTCATGCTAAGAGCGATAGAGAAAGCTGGACGCTCCGAACTGGACGCGGAAGCTCGAAAGTGTTGAAGCATACCGCGTGAGGCAGCGGAGTGGGTTGAATCCAGGTTGTAAGGGAAACCAAACCCAAACTCACAGTTGAGATGAAACAAACCCAAACTCCAAATTGAGGTTTTCTCTGATGGACTTGGAAGACACGCAGCGGACTAAAGACCACCAGAATCCAAGTGTAGTGGACAAAACAGATGTTCCTGCAATACGTTTCATGGGCTGTCGCCATGAGCCATAAACTCCATAATGCAAGCTGTGGAGTCCAAGTCGTTGTTCCGCCAACCCTGCGTTTTCGAGGTGTCGTCCTTCTAAAAGGATTCTTGCTAGAACACTAGCATTTGGCTTGCACTTGTCCTGGTGTTATTTTTGCTGTTGTTTTGAGTCGTCATGCCGGGCTGTGGTCAAAAAACCTGTGCAAATTACATGAAAACCACCACAGCGTGTAGCGTGTAGGCTTTTTCCGGTGCAACAATAACTCTTAGTTAATGACTCTGATAGAATAGCAGCATCTGACAAAACACGTGGTTCTCGGTCCTAAGCAAGAAGGAAAACTGCAATGAATAGGAGAACAAGCATGCTGTGCATTTCAATGCAGTTTGGATGCCTAGGAATGCATACGAATGTTTTGAATACTTTGGAAAACTTTGAGAGAAGTGCAAAGCCTGCGCGTCAAATGCCGCGACACTATTTGAAGGTGATGACTTTCCTCAAGGGGGAAAGGTATTGATAGAGCACGTTAGAGAATTGTAAATTTTGTAGCAAACATGGTTTTTGGATCTTCGTCAAGGAGAAGAGGTCTTTCAAGTGCTTTGGCGGGCGCGCATTTAACGCGGTAGACTTCACCTTGAACGCATGGCGAAGCAAAGTACTTGAAAAAACCACCTCTCCTTATTGGGTGCAAAAGAGTCAATGCCAAATTCCTCCTCCAGATCGTGCGGCCTTTTTGCGCCAAGTGGCGAAGAGTGCGTCAGTGGGAATCGGCCTAGCACAGGAAAAGACCATCTCTTAGCATTTTCGGCTCTAGGTTGTGCGAGGTAGGAACAGTATTGACGTCGCATGGCGTTAGTTTCCGAGGGACCTCTAGGGAGCCCCAGGGCCTCACAAAACAGCAAACAGTCGAAGCAGGCACGCTTCACGCTTTTCCTCGCTGCTGTTCTTCAGCAGTCCGAGTCTTGAGCC